CTGAGTGGTCAGCAGAGAGCCCACATGGGGCTCGAACTTGCAAACCAGGCAATCATGACCTGAGCTGCAGTTGGATGCTCAACTGACTGAGCCACCCAGGTGCCCCAATTTCTCTCTTTTTTAAATGAAATTAGTTTACTTTAGATTTTCCATTTCCTTTGTCAGTTTTGGTAAATGGCCTTTTCTAGATAGTTATCTATTTCATACAGGCTTTTAAATTGATTTCCATAGAATTCACCCCATTCTATGAAAATGAATCTTGTTACCACCTCACCCCATTCAGAATGTCTAAAATTAACTCAGGCAAGGACAGATGTTGGCAAGGATGCAGAGAAAGAGGAACCCTTTGCACTGCTGGTAGGAATGCAAACTGGTGCAGTCACTCTGGAAAACAGTATGGAGGTTCCTCAAAAAATTAAAAATAGAACTACCCTATGACCCAGCAATTGCACTACTAGGTATTTATCCAAAGGATGCAGTTATGCTGTTTTGAAGGAGCACATGCCCCCAGTGTTTATAGCAGCACTATTGACAATAGCCAAAGTTAGCCAAAATATGGAAAGAGCCCAAATGTCCATTGACAGGTGAACAGATAAAGATGTGGTACACACACACACACACACACACACACACACAATGGAGTATTACTCAGCAATCAAAAAGAATGGAATCTTGCCATTTGCAACAACATGGATGGAACTAGAGTATATTATGCTAAGTGAAATCAGTCAGTCAGAGAAAGACAGATGTCATAGAACTTCACTCATTGGTGGAATTTAAGATACAAAACAGATGAACATAAAGGAAAGGAAGCAAAAATAATATAATAAGAGGGAGGGGGACAAACCTTAAGAGACTCCTAAGTATAGAGAACAAACTGAGGGTTGCTGGAGGGGAAATGGATTAAATGGGCAAAGGGCATTAAGGAGACACTTGTAGGGATGAGCCCTGGGTGTTATATGTAGGGGATGAACCACTGGATTCTACTGAAATCATTATTGCACAATATGCTAACTAATTTGGATGTAAATTCAAACAAATAAAAAAAGAAAATGAATCTCGTGATTCTTTAAATTCTTCTGTTTGCATTTCCATTTTATCATCTTTTTTGTTTATACAATTTTTCTTCTTTGTTTTTTTTCTTGATGTTACTTAATTATTCACCCTTCCTCTTCCTTCATAAAAAGAGTTTTTGTATCTATTTATAAGTTCTACTGTATGTTTCTAACTTATTAATTACTATTATATAGTCTTCATTAATTCCTTTTATATGTTTTTCTTCTGTCAATTTTGCTGATCTCTATATAACTTTTAATGTTGGATGCTTGTGCCTTTTGCCTTTATTCTTTATTATTCAAATAGGCATTTAAGGCTATCAGTTTTTCTCTCAGCACCGCTCATTCTGATACGTTGCAGCATCCTAAAACATTGTTTTCCAGAAATTTGTAATTGTGCTTTTTAGTTACTTTTTCTTTCTTTCTTTCTTTCTTTCTTTCTTTTTTTTTTAAGAGAGAGAGAGAGCATGGACAGGAGGGAGGCAGAGGGGGAGAGAGAGAATCTTAAGCAGTCTCCACACAGAGCCCGATGTGGGGCTTGATCCCACGGCCCTGGGATCATGACCTGAGTCAAAATCAAGAGTTGGACAATCAACTGACTGAGCCACCCAGGATCCCCTTTAGTTACTATTTTACTCAAGAATGGTTTAAGGAAGAGTTTTACTATTTCTAGATGGAATTGTGATTTCTACATTTCCCAACTTGCAATGTTATCTTTGGGGTCTAATATGTTGTTAAATTTTTGTGAATGTTTATGTTTATGTAAAATGAAGATATAGTCTCAGTTTTCCAGGGTGCAGAACTTTATATTTATCAGTTAGATCTCTGTTGTTAATCTTTATTTTATTCTTCTATAACTCTACTTATTTTTCCTCTACACAACTTGTCAACAAAAAAAGAGGAATTCAAATCTCTCACTACTAATGTGTTTCTTGGTATTTTTCTTTGAATCTCCTATAATTTCTTCTCTATTTCTGATGCTGCTGTTATTTGGTGCAGAAATATTTGTAGCAGCTGTATTTCCATTGTAGATTTTACATAGTGTCATTACAAGTAGATTTATTTGTCTTGTTTAATGCTTTTTGCTCTGGATTCCATTCTGACAGTTAAAATTCTAAGCCCTGCTCTCTTTTTATTTGCTTTTGCTTGTTAAATGCTGTCTATCTTGGGGTGCCTGGGTGGCTCAGTCGGTTAAACATCCCACTTTGGCTCAGGTCATGATATCCATATGTGAGTTCAAGCCCCACGTCAGGCTCTGTGCTGACAGCTTAGAGCCTGGAGCCTGCTTTGGATTCTGTGTCTCCCTCTCTCTCTGTCCCTCCCCTGCTTATGCTCTGTTTCTTTCTCTCTCAAAAATGAAATAAAAACATGAAAAAAATTTTTTAATGCTATCTCTTTGTTTTTACTTTCTGAATCACTTTAAGTTTTCATCTATATAGAATTGGGTTTTGATTTGTGACTCAGGTTTTGTCTTTCATCAATTAGTGCAGGCCATTTAGTTTTATCGATATGACCTGTATATTTGGTCTGGGTTCTGTCAATTTAGTTCATGCTATCTTTTCTACTTTGAAGAGACTTTTACTTTGTAGCCTGTTTTCATTCAATTTGCCTCTGTGTAGTTTTTTTTTGATATTAAGAAGTTTGCATATTTGTTCTAGTTACCTTTTAATTATAGTTTTATATAGTGTCTTTAGTTCCTCCATGTTTTTAGACTGTACTTATTAGTTTCCTACTATATACAATACTGAAATTTGTGTGTTCCCTCTTCCTTCCCCTTCTCTTCTTTTACTTTATTAGCTTATTTCAATCAATACTGCTAGCTTTTTTAGTGTCTCCCTTTGAGTAGCTAAGTATGTTTAAGTTTGTATTATTTGACTCTGTTACCTTTGAGATCCTTTGATTTCCAGGTATTAAAGATGAGGCCATCAAAAAACTTACCGCCTGTTTTCACAATCCTGTCACAATTTTAAATAGTTGTATCATGTTAAAATATTCTTTCTTTGATTTATAATGAAATATATTAATTGTTCATCATCATTCTCTTGCTTACTTTCCCAAGCTGTATTTTGGTTGGATGAAACTTGTCATCTAATGGTTTTCTTAAGGAAGAATCATGGCAATATTACCTGAATTTTTACATATTTTAAGTGGTTTGACTGATGCTTTTATAGAATATGAAAGATAGATTGACTGCATATAAATTCCACAGCTCACAATTCTTTCTTGGTAATGTTATAGGTATTGATTTGCTGGGTTTTGGCATTGGATTCTATGGATAAATCTAGATCAGTCTTATTTTTTTTCTCCCATCATATCTATTGCTTGATATTTTTGCCTGTCTGTTTCCAAAATTTTGTACTTATTTTGGAAATTCAATGACTTTTCTAGGATATGTCTCCATTTTGATCATTCTGGATGAATTGTTCCTGGGTCAGTGTATGTCCTTTTCCTCTAAAGGAAAAATTCATGAGATTAAGCATGTTGTATTTGTTATAAAACATATTATTTAAAATGTAAACAGCATTCTACCAATGCATAATCAAAGCCTACATTTCCATTAGCACTAAAATACTCAGTCAAATTGGGGCACCTGGCTAGCTCAGTAGGTTGGACATCTGACTTTGGCTCAGGTCATGATCTCGAGGTTTGTGAGTTAAACCCTGCATTGGGCTCTGTGCTGGCAGCCTGGAGACTGCTTCAGATTCTGTGTCTCCCCCTCTCTCTGCCCCTCCCATGATCATGCTCTGTCTCTCTCTGTCTCTCAATAATAAAACGTTAAAAATTTTGCACTTGTTAATGTCTATCTATATGAATGGTAGGTACATGTTTACAGGTCTAGTCTATCCAACAAAAGTTTGAAGGCCACCTGTGGTAATGGTAGTTGATCCACATCATTCCAGATCTTTCTGTGCTTTATTTTGTCCAATCTTCAAGACAACCCTATGTGTAAATTCTATTATTATTCCTATTTTGTAGAGGAGAGACTGAGACTTAGAAGAGACAGGTAGCTTGCCCATGTTAGTAAAAGGTAGAGCCAGGATATAAACCTAAACCAACTGACTCATAACCACTAGATCATCCAGTTGTCTAGCTATTTAGATACCTCTCTTGATGCTTAGCTATTATTCAATCTATCATTGTATCCTTCTTATGAAAACTATGTACTTAAAGGTTTTTGAGTTTTAGATCCAATTAGTTCTCAATGAGAGGTGATTTTATTTCCAGGAGACATTTGTCTGTACGTCCTGAATGTCTGAAACTTTTTTGGCTGTTATAACTGGGGCAAGAGGTGGTGCTTTTAGGTTGAGTAGAGAGCCAGGGATGCCATTAAACATTCCACAAAGCATAGGACAGCCTTCACAACAAAAATTATACAGCCCAAAATGTTGATAGAGCTGCTGTTGAGAAAATAGGACTTAGATGCTGGTTTTCTTGAGGGAAGTCTTTTTTTATACGTGTATAACTTTGTGTAATTTAATATGCTATAACAGAGAAGATGCATAAAAATGCAACTACGATTTTTAACAAAAATAATATTTAGGTGTATTTTTTAAAGTTCTAGTACTCTTTAGAATTTTATTCCTTCAGTGCCAAAAAGGACAAGCAACCAGGCGTACCTTATTCAAGATTTGACCTGGTTTTTAAAAAGTTGCTTCTTTTTTCTGTCCCTGATGTAGTTTTATACCAATAAATATTTCAGGAATAGTGGTCTCATCATTGAGTTCAAGGAAGGCTGTTCATTAAGGAACTTCATCCCCATTACTGATGAAGAGCTCCAAATTAATTATTTCCTGATTGCATAGTACAGTATTTATGAAAATTAATAAGAGTTGTTCATTGTTCTTTGGAGGTGGAGAAAGAGGTTGTTAGAATAATGAAATTGGACAGTTGTCAGAGTTTCTATTTAAAAGACCATGTTATTAATTAGTCTTTCTCTCCTTGCAGGGAATGAGATCAACACTGACTGAAATTTGCTCAAGATCACTTTCCTTCAGAGAAGCTTACCTGTCGATTTCACCCCACACTTTGGAGCAACCAAGAACAATTATGCACTATAGTTATAATAAAGTCTGGTCACCTCAAAGTCAAGGCCCACTGCCAAAATGATAATTTAAGAATTTCTCTTCCTCTCTTTCTCTCTCTATCCCTCCTCTGTCTCCCCCCCCCCCCCCCCCCCCCCCCCCCCCCCCC